TTTATCATCATTATTATTATCACTATAATTACAGAGAACACTAAAAGATAATATTAATTGCCAGAGCTTAGCGTTGGCAGTGGTTGGCTTCAACCTTTATGATATGCTAAATTTAACTCACTCTTATGACATCAGATACTAAAAGATATCGCTCATAATACTCGTCAAATTTCATTAAATACGTCTGACATGCTTTTGTTCTGAGAAAAAAAATAAAAGAAATACTTACCAAGTACGAAGGCGTGTTTTATATACACACACATACATGCATACATTAAATAGATTCAATATCATTCGTTATTGCTCGAGTTTCCTTACTGTATCCTGCTGCTGTGGTCCAAACTCAATAGTTTGCCAAAAGAGCACCATGCATGAAACAGAGCAAACGCATCCCTATCCTTATTGAGCTCTATCCTTGTTGTTTCCGCGAGCAACGCAAAGAAAAAGAAACCTGTACATGCTAAAGAAAGGATGTATACATACATTTAATGCAAGGGGAGTAGGGACAGTTGATGGATTCTTATACAAGTAAAACATGTATTGCTTCTAAATTTCCTCAGTAGGAGATTGGGGACTCGCGCCGTCGCCAGAGGCTACTACGGCATCAAGGTTGGAGATGATGTACAAAATCTAAATTGGCCTCAGCTATGAATCTATGAATTTATATGAGAATTCAGCCCAAGCGATAAACTCCATACGACGATAACAACAAGGGACTTCCAGCTTCACGCTTAAAAAGGTCGAATTCGTACTCAGGAAAATTGTTCTGAATTTGTACTCGAGAAAACTGTTTTCACAAAGACATGCTCGGAAGCTGAGATTTCTGTTGAATTATGAATGAAATAAGCCATTTTTTTTTCATCACCTAATACTTGGAAGTTGCAGAGTAGAGGCTTCTTACAACAGAAAAGGAATATTTTGAATTTAAATAATGATGACCCGCAGTATTTTAAAGCATTATTTATGGCAGTTGGGTAAACAAGGGTTAAGATTTCTGTCAACTAACGCAAATAATTCCCCCCCGCCTAACTAAAATAAAGAGAATATAAACAAACAAGGCTGCCCACCTGCACACTGCTCAGACCTTGACCTATATTAATTGAAGACAAAGCAACAGGTATTTTAGAAGCTTCATGCTCTAAACATCAACAGTATTGTGAAGATAACGGGTACAGATTTGTATTTAATCAGAATGCTCAAGCAAAAGGCCTCTCCTCCCATTGTATTGCATTTAATTAAAAAATGAAAAATGATTTACATGCAGGCTGTGAGGCCTGCGGGAGATTCCTCTACCCACGGGATTGCCCACCGTGCCCCTTGAATTTACCTACGACTTGCAGGCTTCTCATCGGGTTAAACGGGTCGGGTTATCCGTACCCGATTATCAGTTGGATCCTCTCCATTAAGGCATTCGAAACCACAATCATATGAAACTACTAAGCTGTTGGCACCTAGAATATGCATCATTAAGATCTGATGCATGGGCATTGTGATCAAACAGCAGTATGCAGGCTGGTCATTGGCTCAATAAGGTGTAACCAAGTGCATGGCATGCGTATGCCTTGATGTATGCATTCATGTATACACATGATGACATGGCTTTGTGAAGGGGCGTCTAAGGACCCTGTGTGCATGTAAAGGTGATGGTGATAGATTCTATGAGGGATAAGAATGAGGATGCAACATCACATGCGTAAAGTGAAGGGGGCACATGGTGGGGGGAGAGGGAGGCCATGGTGGCAGCAGAGCAGGACCAACTAAACTGAACCCAATCATCAAACAAGCATGTTCCAAGAAACAACCACCATTTACACAACTAGGCTGGCACATGATGCCCCTATAATCAGTCTGAGGACCCTCCCCCCCTTATTATAACAGAACATCATGTGGCCGTGGGGTCCCTCAACAGGGCTGGTGCAGGCTTGAGGTCCCTTCTCTTGCAGAAGGTTTGATCAGGGACTCGATGAAGTGAAACGACGGAGGAGGAGGTA